TGGGCGACTCTACGCGGGACACTCGGCGAGCTCAACTTCATCGGAACAGTGTTCCGGTGGACAGGGCCTGAGCCTTGCTAGCAGACCCAGCAGCGGGGTCACTGCTTCTTTTCCTCCCCTCAATTTTGAGCGAGCTGTTCCCCCTCCTTCCTCTGCCTTCTTCTGACCCTTTGGGGGCAGGAAGGATTCAGACTTCCTTGTGCTGGCCGTAGGGGACAGGGTGTGCCCAGGAGCAGGGACAGGCCACACAACCCCGGGTCCTTGGGAAGCGCACAGTTCCGCTAAAACCTGAAGGCCCGGCCTCTCCCTGTGTGCTAGGTTGGTGCAAGTGACCCCAGCTGGCCAGGCCGCTCTGCACTTAACACTCCAAGCACACGCTGAGCAGGGCTGTGGCGGCCAGAAGGCGAGACACTCTTGTGGAGCAGGTCCAGTGGGGGCGGGGACCTGTGAGGCCCAGGGCACACACAGCATGACTTCAGTGGGACACGCTAATTCTAGCTGCTAGGCTTCCTGGGTAAAAAGCCAGCAACGTTCTAGAAAGGGGCAGGGTGAGTCCAAGCAGTTTAATCACCAAACAGTTTAGTTGTCTTTGTCTGAAAGATAACTTTTAGATGAAAAAAAAAAAACAGAAATAAATGTTCTAACTCCTAAGAATTCCACATCTTTCCCAAAGCGCTCGCTCTCTTGGGAGGAAGGTTTCCTGTCTGCACATAGGTGCAGAGCCACGCTTCTCCCACACTGACTGCTGACGCCAGCTCCTCCAGAGCTGTGCTGAAACCGGACTCTTACCCACAGGAAGCCGCGTGCCGTGGAAAGCGAATCCGGTTGACTTTCATTGTTTAGGTAAGGCTCGGGGTTGTAAGCAGCACATTCGATCTAAGAGGAAGAAATCAAACATGCAAAATGGGCCTCTGGGTTTAAGACAATATCGTTTTTTTATTATTGCCACAAGTATTCTCTTTAATTGAAGGATTTTCAATAAATTTTACGTACATAAAATCACTAAATTTTAAACGTTTTAAAATACTTGTATCCTTATCAGTTTACAACAGTGAAACTACCACCCACATCAAGATGCCAAGCACAGATCTTATATATGAATGCCGCCATCTCTTAAACGTGCAATTTCTTGGAACATCCTTATTCTGCCTAAGGAAAACGTTCTCCATTTCGACAACCTAAGGAGTTTCTATTACCCTTATGCCCCCTTAACTTTTGTTTTACACAAATGTGAGTATTCACATTAGAGATGGATTTCTCTTTTACTCAATTTAGATCTTATTAACTGGGAATTTAACCACTTCTATCTCTGTCAATATCTTTCGTAAAAATTTTAACACTTCCTTGGCATTTTTCATTTGCTTTTTCTTGCTTTTTCACTTGTTTTGAATTCCAGAAAGCTGGAATGTATATCATCTATTTTTGTCCACAACTCAATGACAAAAACTCAGTCACAGCTGGTGCAGTAATTAGTGGTCTTCCCAGTTCAGTATTTCAAATGCATTTCCCCTCTCCAACCAGTACCTTGGCAATGTTCTCCTTACACTGCTAGTATTCCCAGTATGAGCTTGCTGGGGTTTTTAAACAGGAAATAGAACTGTGCCATTTTCCAGTGCTGTCATATCAGCATTCAGAATGTCCGTACTGTACTTGTCCTGCCCACAGTGACAAAGCACTTTTATTTAACATATACTTGGCTTAAGAACATGCATCTTTATATTATATGACGAAAGTAAAACAGTTTTTATTTGCCCAATACACTGAGTAACTGGCATGCATTTTGACAGTCTAAAGATACCTAAGCTGAAATTTTTAGATCTAGCTTACAAGTCTATTTTGCATTTAGGTTTATTAGTCTATATGTAACAATTTTAGACTCCATGTTCTTAACTAGTTTTAACCATCCATTTTTTCATACAGTTATCTCTCTGTTCTTTTCTATTTTCTATTGGCTGCAGTAAATCATTCAGCAAACTTTCCAGACAAGGTTCTTGGTTGATGCGCCTTCTAAACCCCTGGGATCTGAGAGCCGCCAGGCTGCTTCCTACACAAATGCTAACTGGGCAGCGTGCGTATAATTCTTGATTCTAAACTACTTCCCCGCAACACTCTGGAGATGTTGCTCCGTTGTCCTCTGGCATTTAGAACTGAGAGAAATATCTGAGGTCACCTTTCCATCTGGATACTTGCAAATTTTCTTCTTTACCCTTAAAATTTTAAGAAGTCACCAAGGTATGTCTAGGTGTTGCTTTCTTCTCATTAAATTTTAAAGGTGCCTTGTGCGCCTTCTTCACTTGCAGCTTACTTCGTTCTTCAACTCTGAAAGTCTTCATCAATTAGCTCCATAATATTGGTTCAGCTTCATTGGCTTTGTCCTGTTTCAGGTACTCCTAGTACAGTACCCATAGGTCACAGCTCCTGGACAGGCCCGCTACATCTTTTCCTCCTTTTCTCATCTTAATTTCTTTGGCCTTTTCCTCTACATTCTGTAAGAATTTTTCTTGTTTTGCATTTACTTCAGCATCTTATTTTGTGACCAGCCCAGCTTACGTGCTTCCTTGAAATGGAAGCCCAGGATCTCTTCCACACGGTCACATATCACCTGCTCTACAGTGAAGTCCACGTGGGTAATGAACTCTCTTATAAGATGCTCAGTACTTTCTAGAAGATCACTGCAGACTGGCACACCAGTATCAAGAAGAGGCATTTTTCTCGTTATTTAACTTGATTCCTCTCTTCTGAGCTGCAGTCTTACGACCTTTTCCACAGTTCTTCCCAAAATGAGGTCCAAGTGCATGGTCTTTACAAGCACTAAACTTGAAGAATGACCCCATAATTTCTTTTTTTATTTTAAAGAGAAAAAAAAATAAAAATAACAGTAAAACAGAGTTTCAAGACAAGCTAACAGGGCAGTAACAATAATTAATACACTGTGTACTGTTATTTTCTTAGTAGTTACTCAGAGTACAAGATACAGCATTCTAACACCTAATCACAAGCCTCAGGGTCACTACCTATCAAAGATTAAAACAGAAAGGTAAAAAAGATTCATATACAGCTGTCCTGCACTACCAACAGAGACCCCAGGATCCCACAAGGAGCCCAAATCCTGGGATACTCAGGGCTTTCATGTAAAATAGCAGAGGGTCTGCATATAATACATGTGCATCCACGCAGGGGCTGAGGTCAGCTGTAGGTTAGTCCTGACCTCCCGTGATGAACTCGCCCCATGAACAGCTGCTACACTGCACTGTTCGGGAAAGACAAGTGAACGCAGAAAGGCTGCACAGGCCCCACAGACATGATTTTATCTGCATAACTTCCAGGGTCGAGTCCATGTTTAGGGAAACCACACAGGTGAAGGGCCAACTGTGCGAGTCTTAGACATTTAGTTTGTAGAAGTCGAGTTGGTCTTTGCTGTTTCACTTGCAGAACCCTTCAACCACCGGGAAGCCAGCGTCAGAGGGCACATCTGAGGGAGCAAGGGCGGGACAGAAGGCCAAGGACGTCCAACAGTGCAGTCTACTTACTCCTTAAAGAAAGGCAACGTGGCAAGACCTAGTCTCAATCTGTTTAAAGGGCTGGGGAGCCAGCTCAGTGCAAAGGTCCTGTCGTGCAGACAAGTTTGAGAAGGGCATATTCCTCAAACCACGGAAGCCACAGAGAGCACAAAAGCACTGTCCCCCTGCCTGAGTCCACCACTAAGATGCAGCCCGGAAGGCGGGAGCTGCTCTAGCTGAGGTCAGAGAGGTCGGGCAAGGGAGCAGGCGCAGGAAGGACTCTGGGCTCCGTGGAAGGGGCCTCGGCCATGCGGTGAAACAAGCACGCCTCCAGACCTCGAGGTGGCGCCTCAGCACGGCACAGCCAGTCACTGGTCACCGAGCTGCACCACTGTGCCCTGCACCGGGCACCACAGCGAGCTGAGCCTGGGTTTCAGGCTCCGAACGGCAGCCCGAGTATTTCCAAGCAAACGCCTCTCAAGAAGCAGCAGCCAGGGCCGTCCTGAGAGTTTTCCAACCCCGACCCTCCCAGGGCCCCTGAGGGAAGCGAGCCAGAGATGCAGTGCCCTCACCTTGAACTCCGGCTGTCTGGCCACCATCACAGGCATGTGTCCCACCAGGAGAGGGTGCGTGTCTTTCTTGGTCTGGTTCCCGTCGTCGTCCACACAGAACCAGCCCAGATGGTTGTCCTCCTCTGTGGGGAGCGAGAGCACAGCTGTAGTTAGGCACAGATGCCCTGGCCGCCCCACCGAGCGAGAACGTACTCCAGGAGACAGCACCCGACCCTCTCGCAGGCTCTCAGGGAGCAACCCCGCCCACCTCTGTGGCTCTGTGCCCTTCTGCTCTGGTGCCAACTGCACCCTCTACCTCCCTGCTCCTCTTTCACCTTCTCAAGGCGCCGAGAGGCTGGGATTCGAGCACTGGGCACACTGAGAAGTCCTTACGTGCAGCTGGTGCCACGGGATTCAGAAGGACAAGGACATGAAGACGTGTTTGCTACTGGAGCACTTTGAAGAACGGGAAGTGAAGAGAGAGGAGCTGATTTTCACACCCTGCTCTCCTCTGCAGAGAGTGGGCCAGTTCCTGGCTGGCTGAGCTGCTCTGAACCCAACTCTACAAATCACTCAGTTACTCAGGAAGAGAAAAGGAACCCCGCTAGGCTTCCTTCCAGACTGAACACAGCCAGGCCAGGCTGCCCTCACGGGAGTCCCTTCCCTTCCACAAACCATCTTGCACAAGGGAGCCCGCACCCCACCCCCTGCTGCTCCTCTTTGTAACATTTCAAAGTCTGCACACAGAGGACTTCGCACGTGTGCACATCCCAGGAGAGCGGGGTAAGTCACACACACGCAGATCAAGGAAAAGGGACCAAGGCACAGGAACGTGACCAACAGGCCATACCCAGTCACATCACCCTTGCAGCATGCAGGACTTAGTTTTGAGGCGGGAGGGCCTTCCTGACAATGCAGCCTGCCGGCATGCTTTCCTGCAGCCAGGTGGCATGCAGGTGACAGGCACAGTGTCACACCTGGTGGCATGCAGGTGGCATGCAGGTGGGATGCTCCTTGGAGTCAGCACACAAGGGCCTGCCGTGCCTGAGCCCTCGTGTCCACTGCTCCCAGTGCATATCACGGGGCTGTCTTGATTCCATGAAGACCTAGCTTGGTCCCCCCGGCCTTGAATTACATATAAACTTCTCAAAACTCGCCCGCTCTGTGGTTAATGTCCCCATTCCGAAACCTTCTCCTAGAGACAGTGCATCTCTCAGCCCTGCCTGGAGCCCGTCTGCCCACTGGCATCCTCCAGCCTCATCTTACCCAGAGCAAGCTTGGCCATCTGCAGGTTGTTCGTCCAGGCCTCTTTGATGGCCGGGGTGAATGTATTGAACACAGCCGTGAAGAAAGTAGGCCGCCCAGACCTGCCGGGAATAACAGACAAGGGCTCGTTTCACAAGAAGTGCTCCATCCTGAGTGCTGCTGGGTGGCAAAGCCACCAAACCAAGGAGACACATCCTACCAAGGGCCATTTTCTTCCCAGCTTTGGCCAGAAGGCTTCCCTTTACAGTCACTCACTTGTCCTGCTTCCCAGGAAGCTGTAACTGAATTCTGCAGCGGTCGGCAGCTCTGATCTCATCCTCTTTCTTTAAAATCAGTCTCTGTAAGCCTGAGGTCCAGTCATGGGCTACTGACTGGTTTAAGTTCTATAAAGGAAATGCAGATGTGCGCTTTTAAATGTTTAGAAATACTAAAGAGGAGAAAAGGCACAGTTGTAACAGAAATTCAGGGAGACCCATTCATACTCATGTCTGATTATGAAAAAGAAGCTGCTGGGGTCCAGTGCAGTGTGCATGGCAGAAGTGACCTGCAGCACCTTTGCAAAGGGAGAAAATGGCACTGAAATGTTCCACCTCCCCGAGACAGGCACCGAGGCTCCCGGGAGGTAATGACAGTCAGAGTACACCCTCCCAGCTCCGCTCAGGGGTCAGGGCTGACACAGGGTCTCAACCAGGTGCTGGTGGCTGCGGTTACCTGGTAGTTCCCTTTGAGGGTCCCGATCAGCTGAGCTATCTGGCCTATGACATTCAGGTCGTGCAGCAGGTTCTGCAGATCTTGGTACAGCTGCCCCGGCCCCAGGTAAGCTTTGTCTACCAAGTAAGCAAGGAAGAACATGCCGTTCCAACACTGTGTTTTCTCATCTTTCAGAAATAATTTTAGAGTTACAGAAACATTGCAAAACAGCACACATTCCCTGCCCAATGCCTCCCCAGGTTAGTATCTTCATAAAAGTGTAAATTGTGCAACCTCTATTCGTAAGAGGTCCAGAAACGACAGTTAATCTGAACCACATTTCCAACACCAGAGTTGCCAGGGACCTTTCTGACGTTAGTTGAAGGAGCATGGAAATGGTTTGTCTGTGCGGACTCGAGTCCACTCCACACCGCCCAATGGCTTTTGGGACACTTACTGTGGGAGCAGGAGCCAGGGCTCAGATGTGGTCCCCGCACTGCCCAAGAAACTGTCCTCGGTCTCACACGTGCAGAAATGAAGGTGTTTCACTCAGAGCCTGCGCTTCCCCCCAATGTGACAGGGGCCGCCACCCTCCTACTTCCCTGTGAACAACCTGCTTGGGCTTGCACAGCCAGCAGCGGTGTCTCGGTGTCCCAGTAAGGGTCCGGCACTTCCTGCCACCCCTGTGCTGCTGCCTGGTACACTGGGCCCTCTGGGACTGCTGTGGCCAGGACGAAACCCTCACCGACTCTGAACAGGGGCCCTGTGTACCCATCCCGCACCGTGCCCTGCAGATGCTCACGCCATCCCCAACACAGAGAGGATGTGTTGTAGGCTGAAAAGGGTCTGCGTTTCCATCACGTCAGTTCATAAGTACATGCATCCCAAACACCCAGGGCTCTCCTGAGAAGTTATCCTATAACCATCTGCTACTCCACAGCACCTCAGCCAGAGACACAATTACATAGGCACGTACGCACAGGAAGGGTGACTTCATCACCTGTCTAGACAAAGCGAAGCTTCAGGAAACTTCACCAAGAAAGCAGTAAATTTGCTCCACAAGTAACACACACCTAGCACCTTTCTTTTGCCTTCCAGTATGCTTATAACCAGAATAGTTTAGTCTAATAGCATATATTTGTTTTCATTTGTCAACATTTTTTTGCTGTGTGGGGATCTAAACCGGGACCTTGTGCACACAATGCAGTTCTCTACCACTGAACCATATCTTCAGCCCCATCTGTAAACTTTTGGTGATAAATGCTAGTATCTCCTTATAATACAATTCTAAGTGCTATACTAGCTTTATTAACTAACTTAATTAACTTAATTATTAACTTAATTAATCAACACCTACTCTGCATTCTCACAATTATCATCCAACAATTATTACAATTATCATTAATTATTAACTTAATTATTAACTTCATTAATCAACACCTACTCTGCATTATTCTTACAATTATCAGTAAAACAGAACCTTCTCCTTTGGGTACGCAGCACTAACTACCAATTGTAGCCCACATGCACATTCAGCACCCCAGCAGTCTGTGCCCTCAACACAGCTCTGCCCACTGCAGAAAGGCCCCCAGTGTCCCCACAACTCACCCCATCCAACCCCGGGAGCCACTGGCCTGTTCTCCACCCTGTGTCTCTATGAGAGGGTCCCATATCTACTCTAACGTGTGCACAGTACATCTTTCTTGGCACAAGCACTCAGAGATGTGTCCTGTCTGGGGACACTCCTCAGGTAAGGAGCTGAGTGTGTAAGCTGGTCACAATCTCGCCCAGGTGGGAATCCCAGAACAAACGTGATGGGCATACCCGCACAGAGGGCAGGGCACACCCCCACCTGCAGTAGGGCACACCCGTTCCTACAGAAGGACAGGAGGAGTCTCTAACTCTATCTATGAAGTACATACGATGTGGATGAGTCAGAAGGTACCCCAACCTTTAGTGAGTGTTTCTGAGTTGGGGGTGTCAAGCATGTCACATCCGTGTGTGAGTCTAGAAAGCAAAAATTCCTCCTCCACACACTTCTCTGAGTGAGCCACGGTGAGACAGAAAACACTTCAACACTGAAATCGGGACCCATGGAGACACCAGCTCCGCACTGGCACCCGGGGTCAAACAGCACACAGAGGCTTCCACCCAGCAGGACTTCCGGAACCCTGGGCTCATATAGTTCTGCTTCCTCAGCTGTAAAAAGGGACACCACCACCTTCCTGTGCACCTTACAGTATGCTCTGGGGGTCAAATGAAGTAACATCCAGGAAGCAATTCACAAGCCAACATGTGCATTATGTTAACACGTGCTACACAATGTGGCGGCGGTGCACCTTACTACTCACCATGCTCCCCAGCCCTGGCGACCTTCAGGCTCTTCCTCTGCTGATCACCACTGGCCCACCAGTACTGCCTACACTTCTTTCCTTTACCATCAAAGCATAGTCTGCCATGTTCCTTTCCTCCAGCAAAGGAACTGTGTCTATTTCCCACGCGCTTAACAGAAATGGTGAAGTGGGAAATGTACCAGTCAGCTCCCCTGTAGCTGAGACACAACACTGGGCACAACTCAGAGGAGGAGAGGCCTCCTTTGGCTCACAGTTTCCGTGGCTGGCTGCTCTAAGGCAAAAGTGGCATGGCAGAGGCACGGCAGAGGCCGGGCGTGGTGGCACACACTTGTACTCCCAGCACTCAGGAGGCGGAGACAGGAGGATTGTTGTGAGCTCCGGACTCGCCTGGGCCACAAAGTGAGCTCAAGGCCAGGCTGCACTGCACAGCGAGACCCTGTCTCAAAAGGAAGGCATGATAGAACAAAGCTATTCACAGCACGCAGCCAGGAAGCAGAGAAAGAGAGGAGGTGGGGTGGGAGGTGTACCCCTCTGGGTCCCCCCTCCCAGTGGCTGCCTTCTCCAGTCAGGCCCCCTCCCAACAGTGCACAGTATGACCTCTTCCAGGGAGGGAACCGCAGGATGAGTACAGCACTCTGAGCCACTCACTTTCCACGCACACAAGGCTTTGGGAGACTTCTTAGACCTAACCAGTCAGGTCCTGTTTTAAGTCCTGCACCCTACATCTTCGGGTGCATGTGATGGAAACTGCAGCTGCCTCTGGTGGAGCAGTCCCTCCTGGGCCAGGCGGAGGGCACACAACTCTGGGTGTCCACTCAGGAAACCATCAGGCAACGGCTCAACCATCCTGGCCTCGTTCAGATACTGTGCATTTGCTTCAGGGGAAATGAAGCAAATGCTCGGCTTATGTGAACTTCCCACCCTTGGAAGATTCCATGAGTGAGCTGCACACACAGTGGCTAAGTACGCACACACCTGGGGGCAGCACTGGCCACACCTGTGCCTCTGGCCACACAGAGGAGCAGAGGCATGGACCCGGGGCCCAAGCTGCAGCAAGGGTCTTGGGTTTCCAGTGTGGGAAGCACCTCCTTAACTGCAGGAGCTGAGGCCAGGCCGACTTGCCCTGAAGTGGAAAAGGCAGCAGTGAAGTAAAGGAGCAACACAGTGATCGTTTTCTACGGCCCCGGCGGTGTGGGCAGCTTAGGTCCCTCCCAGCCAGAGGCCACCAAAGCATGGCCTCCTCTGCTTTGGCTGCTGACACTACAGAGCCCAAAGCCACAGATGCCAGCGCCCACCAGGCCACTCTGTCTTGGGAGAGGGTAGGCATGGGAAAGCAGCTGGGCAGGAGAGGGGCCACTCATGCCACAGGAGAAAGACAAGGTGGACATGGGCAGTGGGCAGGCGGCAGGGTCCTCAGCAGCAAGACCATGGGCTGCGTGGCTAGTGGGTAACACGACATGGCAACTGGAGACCAATGTCAAGGTGTGGTGTTCGGTGAAGCAACCGCAGCAATGTCAAGGTGTAGTGTACGATGCCACAGCTGCAGTAGTCAGCAACATCAAGATGTAGGGTAGGATACGGCAACTGGTTAGTAATGTCAAGGTGCAGTGTAATGTACCACACCACAACTAGTTAGTAACAACACATCACAAAGTCATACACTTGAAATGGCTGAGCAGGTTCCAAGATTCGCTCACCACAAGAAAATGAGGGAATGCAAGTCAGCCAGAGGAGGCCAAGCCGCAATGCACACACACTTCAAAACATCAGATTATGCACCATATATAATTATCTGTCAACTAAAAAGTAAAATTTTTTAAAAGAATATATATATGGCATCACCCTGCTCCTCCAGCAGGTGATAGACCCCTCTACACCGAGGCCCAGAAGCGTCTGCTCCCCAGGTACGGGGAGGGACAGGTGCCACCTGTGCCTGAGGTGCTGTCGCGGGGGACCACACACCCCACACACGAGGCGCGGAGCAGGAGCACCTTGCAAAAGCAGGCGTGACAGAAACAGGCCCAGAGCAGGAGGGGTTTCAACATTACCTCCCCTCTACAGAAGAACTGTTTTATTATTTCCTGGCCAAAATTCATTGATCAACAGAACCAGCAAGTCCAAACCTTCTTGGGGAGGAATTTGCCACCTGGTTGCAAATTCCCGGCGTTTTCAGCCCAGGAGTGAAGCTCTCTGCGCTAGCTGCTCTCCTTGTCCAACCTCTCTGACCGCCTCACCACGCTGCCTGTTTCCATGGGAACCCCTGCAACTGGTTGGAAAAGCAGGCTGTCTGCTGAATGGAATCTTGGGGGACAAACAAGGGGTGTGTGTGCCCAAGGCAACAGCAAGGGCACCAGCAAAGCTCAGCATGTCTGCAAGGTCTCATAGCTGGCTAGAGAAGGCAGAGGCAGAGAAGGCGGTTCTGAAGTAGGAGCTGGGGCACACTCAGCTCCCCAGGAGGCCGGGGACACAGGGTGCTGGGGTGGGGGAGCAGCCTGGCTGAGTCACTGCAGGCTCCCACACAGCCCGGCTCTGTAGCGAGGAGCCAGTCTCCTGTCAGTTACTCATGCTCCTCCAGCTCCCAGGAAGCCAGAAGCAAAGCCAGCAAGGAAGACCCTCTGGAGACAAAGGGACCAATGTCACACCCCCTACAGCTAGAAACAAAGTCAGCGTGGGAGTCTGCAGGCGGTGTGCATGGCGTTGCTGGGGTGAGCAGAGGAGGGGCTGACAGCAGAGCTCTCAAGTGCAAAAGGCCCATCCACCTGCGCTGGCCGCTCCACTGGAGC